CTGCCTGGCACTCCTTTCCCCTCCGTCCTTGCACGGGTTGTGCCATTGCAAAACCACTTTTCGGTAGATCATCGCAATTGTGTACGAACCTCCTTTGCGCACTGATAGCCCCAGATTGTGTTAAGCATGGCTGCGGCAACACAGGACGCACGGCTAGTGCTTCTTCGAACTTGGGGCGCGTGCGTCGCGCAATTCTCTGGCATGCTTGCTGCGCGCCACAATCCAGTCGCACCACACCTGCATATCCTCCCAGTGTCTCCCCACCATCTGTCATCTTGCACGCCAGGCACAAGCCAGTCCGCAGGTGCCGAAAAGGCAGCGATGGTGACCGGGACAGGTGCGGAAGGATTGTCGCCTTTTCGTGTCTGCTCCAACAGATTGAGACACCCACCGATGGGATGGTATCCCTCCCCGCCCCCCTGTCCACAGCCCAGTTCTCTGGTCCTGCCCACCCCCACCCGCGCCCTCCGCGAGGCAGGGCCTGGCGGCAGGGTGTCACTGCCTGGTTTATCCGACACTCCGAGGGGCGCCCAGTCAGCCGCCCCGCAGGAAAGGCAAGACGAGGGCCGAAGGGAGCGAAGCGGGCCCCCCCGGGATGGGGCGTGCTCCGCGGAGCTTTTGGCGTGAGATCCGGCAGGTGGGTGCCTTCCCCGAACTGCCAACGGGTTCTGACAAGAAGTGCTGATGAGTGAAGCGGCCCTGAAAGGTGCAAAGAGGCATTCCACGCTGGGGGCGCACCTGAGACGAAAATGCGTTTAGATAATCCCCCCAAAGACTCCCCAATCGCGCTGATCTCCCCGGCCTGTTTTTGGATCGTCTGGAGCCGTCGTGCCTGGGCACGCTGCCCAGCCTTAATGGACTCGTTGGCCCAGCCCGTGCGGTCTGGACCCAGATGCCCCCAGGCCATAGGCTACATCGGGCCACCGTGCCCTACAGAGTGGTGGCTCGAGGGAACTGGGTCCACGAACGGGGTTGAAGCGCCCCAGAGCCATGTTATCTCAAGTCCTCCTCCTCCTCTTCCTCCTCCACTTCCTCCTCCTCCCCCTCCTCCTCGTCCCACCCCATCCCCCTCTACAGTTAAGAAAACACGGGTCGCACCCCCAGACGTGTCGGTAGGGCGGGCCAGGCGTTTCTCCTGAGACTACCTCGCCATCTATGATCCTGAAGCTTGAGAATTGCAGCAGGTTCATGGACAAAGGGGGGGCTGCTTTGAAAATGCGGCCCTCGCCACACCGCCGCGCACACTCGTCTTCCGAGCCTGCAGCCGCTTCACGGATGGCGGGGCGGGTCTTTTTCAGAATGCGGACTTCGACTGAGCGCCGCGCAGGCGCTTGGCGTTGACTATCCCCCTCCCTCCCTGGGTTCCTCGATCAAGATGTTTGCCCTCCGTGGCTGGAGGGCCCACCGCCACTGCCCTGACTTGCGGCCCCGCGCATGGTGGAGCCATTCCTTTTCGGTGGGTGTGATCCTTCGCCTTGCACTGTCTCTCTCCTCCATCCTGCCCTTCTTTGCTGGGTCGCTGTGATGTTGCCAGTTGGGTTAGGCGAGCCGCTCGCACTGTAGAAAAAAACGCGCTCGCTCACCCACCCACCCGCGCTGCCACATGCTCCCGCGAGCGCTTGTGCGGTGCAGCGTGGTGTGGTGTCACGCCACGACTTCACCTTGCACGGGGTGGTCCACCTTCCACGCCACAGCGTCTGCCACCAAGGACCGCGCTCGCGAGCACGGCCAAGCTGGGCAACGCATCGCTTTGGGCACGACCTTATCGTGCGCATCTTGTGGGTCTTCAGAACATGTTGGTTGCGCCCGGTTCCTGGCCAGGGCGGGCCCGGGCGGATGGCATTCCTAAACGGGCTGCGGGTCGGCCGGTCTTATGGGTGGTGGCACCACGGACAGTGCTCCACCCCCGCCATCCTAGATTTCGGCGTTGGTGGTAATAGTTCGGTCACCTTGAAAGCCACCACCCTCGGTGGAGGCACACCTCCGATATTGGTGTTGGGGTCAACCTCGAGGCCTGCGAAGGTTCTGCGGGGGCCGGCGCGGCACTCTATCCACAAGGGGTGCCTCACAAGCGGGAGAGCGGTCTGCGGAGCAGCATGCCTCAGTCGCGTGAGCCCAGCGCAAGCCCGCGCTGCCGCGCAGCGCCCTCAGCACCGGATCCGGCGTCTGCAGCTGCTGCCCGCGTGGCCGGACACGTGCTCCCGCTCTTGCGCGCTGAGTGAGAAGCCCGCTCGGCTAAGAAAGGTGTGTCTGTGTGTGTGCACTCGTGGCTCTGCGCTGCAGTGGTCGCTGCGGCTGTGGGCCTGGCCACGGCTCTGCAGTAAGCAAGGGGTGGCTGGGTGCAACAAGGCGGCGCCCAACTGAACTTAGCGCGTGCACGCAAACACCCACAAGACCCCATCAAATGCACTTGAGCCCCTCACGCAGGCATGGATGGCACTTGCAACACTACGAGCGCTCTAGCAAGCAGGCATCACGCACAAAGGATCGCGGTGGCAGCCACGTGAAAGGAACATACCAAAATGGAACCGCAAGGCGACTCACCACCAGATGACCCGCCCAATAACACACTGCATGATTGAACGGCCACCGCGCCCGTTAGAATGATAAACTTCTGCTCCGCGTTACGAGCTGTTTCTGCTCTCCCGAATTCGACCCGTCCCTGGTGTCTGAGGGAGCATCGTACAGGAAAGTACCTGCACATCCGCTTGTGAAAAGAGTTTTGCATGATCCACTACTGCATGCACTCGGAAGGCACTGTGGCCAACCCATGTTCTGGACGGCGACAAAACTTGACGCCTCTGCGTGTGTGTCTGTGTGCGCGGCGGCGTCGCAAGGACAGTCCCCATCGCAGCAACCACAACACGAGCGTGGGGGTCTTGCAGGGCTCTTCGGAGGAGCAGAAGGGCTCCACAGGCACCCTTCCAGCGGCGGGAGCTGATCACGAGTCGCAGTCCTCAGACGCTGCCCGCGCAGGAACCCGAGAGAAGGACGAGGCGGGAGGCGAGGTAGGTGGGCGGACGGGGGGGAGACGGGGGAGGCAGGAAGGGGCGAGGGGAAAGGGCAAGCTGGGTGCTCTCGCGCCACATCTGACATCCGATCCCTCCCTCCCACCCCTTCCCGCTGCGCTGACTTGTCTCTATCCGCGGACGCGTGTCATATCCGGCACGGACCCCCAAAAAAGACCTCTATCATGTCATGCGCAATCGCAAAGGGGAGCGGCTTCGTACACGGGAGGAGAGCGAGGAGGAGGATGAGGAGGAGGAGAAGGTGGTGGGTAAGCAGACGGACGGGAGGAAGGAAAAGGGAGAGGGTGGATGAGGAAGGATGAGGACAAGGAGGAACAGAGGCAGCAAAAACTGGAGTGGAAGAAGCGGGAGAAGGAGGAGGATGAGGGGAAGGCTGAGGGGAAATACGGGGGCGACGACGATGAACAAGAACTCGGATCCAGAAACGTGACCCGCGCTGGGGCGAGAGCGCCATGTTATGAACGACTGGAGTTCAGCGCAAATCCGAAAATGAGGCCCATACTGCAGCGCGAGCACCGTTTGAAGACACCAAAAAGAGTCGGGTTGTAAGACAAATCAGGTGGAAGAAAAACAACTCTGCCCAGTCTTGCAAAAAAACGGAGACGCGCGATCTCTTGTGCGCGTAGTCTGGGGATCGAGGAGAGTAGTAGTACAGTAGGAGCCCGGCCACAAGAAACCTTCCACAAGAAACCCAACCCTGAGACCCCACGACGCCCATTGATTTTTGGCGTGGGAACGTCACGTTTCCCATCGCAAAACCATCGAAATCCAAGAAACCCAAGGCACCCTGGAGGCAAGCAGGGTGTTACTGTGATGGTGGGGAAGACGAGGAGGAGGAGGAGGAGGAAAAGGAGGAGGAGGAGGAGGGAAGAGAGAGGGAGGAGGAGGAGGAGGAGGGGAGGGAGGAGGAGGGAGGGGAGGAGGAGGAGGAGGAGGGAGGAGAGGCGGGAGGAGGAGAGGAGAAGAGGAGGAGGAGGAGAGAGGGAGGAGGAGGAGGAGGAGGAGGAGGAGGAGGAGAGAGGGAGGAGGAGGAGGAGAGGAGGGAGGAGGAGGAGGGGGTTAGCAGGAGGAGGGAGGAGGAGGAGAGGAGGAGGAGGTAGAAGAGAGGAGGGAGGAGGAGGAAATGGGAATGTCGGCGGCGCGCCCACGGAGGGGGAAAAGGCGGAGCCGGCGGGCCCTTTCGGAGGGCGGCTCTGCAAGCCTCTGGCCTTCTGGGAAGCTGCGGAGGCCTTCTCCGAAGACATGGAGGGCTCCTCAAAGGCCGGATGTAAAATGGGCCCTGCGACACACATACGACCAGACGCAGATCCCAGGACTCCCCATGAGCATCATCTCAGATGTTCTGGGTCTTCGCCTTCCCGCCGTTCCCCTTGTCTCCCATGTTTTCTTGAAGTCGGTATTTAATTGTGTCTGTGTGTGTCCCCTCGCCGCCCTCTGAGATAGCTTGCCCCTGCTGCCCTGGGCGCGCCGCCGAATGGAGGGAGGGAAGGCTACGAGAACGGCGCCCGTGCGCCGTGCCATGGCTGGACTCCGTTCGGGCCCCGCTCGAACGCGGCACGGTCCAGAGTTTGCTCCTGGGTCGAGAATCCACGGCACGCCACGAGGGGCGCCAACGCAGTAGTTACGGTGCACACAAGTCGTCCGCGGAAAGGTGGGGGGGCAAGGGGGAGCGCAGGGGCAGCAGAGAGTGGGAGGCCACGTGCGAACCCTGCCCCCCTGCCCCCCACGCCTTCTGCGGGGAGGGTGGGGTCCACTTCACTTCGCAGGCGGCCCCCCAGGGGACCGCGGGGGCAGCGGAGGGATCCGGCGCAGCTGGCCCGGGGCGCGCGGGCGGGCCCCCGCGCGCAGCCCTCCCCGGGGGCAAACCGGTCGGCACCCTGCCGACGGCTCGACGGCCCGCGCGGGCGGCCGCGAGAGAGCACGCAAGCGTCGGAGAGGGGAGGGCGCGGGCACCGCGGGCCGCGCGCGGCAGAGCCCCCAACCGTTGGGTCGGGCGGGTCCTCCTACAGGGGGTTTGGACGAACAGACATCTTTTGCATTGGTTTAACGTCAAAATTCAAAATGGTCCCCGTACTATGTTGTAACTCTTTGGGGGCATTCTTCTTGTAGAATAACAGGCCCGACTCGACCCAACCGCTTCCGCCGAGAGCAGGAGGCGCTGCGGAGGCCCCGGCGCCCTACAGGGGGGGGCGGCCGCGCGGAGGAGACAACGGATGAGCACGGGCGTTCGCAGGCCGAGCGGCCGAGCAGCCCCGGCGACTGGCAACTCATCACCCGGAAGTCGCCTCCGAGCGAGCCCTGCGCAGCGCTGGGGAGGATCGGGCGGAGTGAGTCGAACTGTCGAAGGAGCGCAGACGTGGATTAGCGACCTGTGGATTTGGCACTCGGTCGCCAAATCCATGGATCTGGGGAGGTGCCCTCCCCAAAATGCAGCCAGTGCCGCCTCGTTTGGCGGCACAAATCCGCGATTTCCCATGGAAACGTGACCCGTCACTAATCCACGCCCTCTTGATCCATGCTTGCGACCGCCTGAAACTAGCTTTCTGAACCCTCCGCCCAAGGAAAATCTCGTACACTGCCGGCGACGCCCACGAGACTCCCCAAAAGCCCGGAGACGCGCCCAAGACGCCAACAAGAAACCCAAATGGGCCTCACGCGTCAATTTCGTCCTTCTGGGGGTCGGCGGAACTGCTGGACGCCGCTTCCGAGCGAACCTCGCGCGCGCGCGGCAGCGCCTTGCCGCCAGCACCCCCACGCCCGCAACGCGCGCGCGCTCCGGGCCCGCCGCGAAAGGGGGCGCCGGAGCCCTGAAAATTGAACTCGGGCGCCTCCACACGAGGAACATTCACATATGTTGTTTTCAAACATGTTCGGGAACGATCGTTCCATTATTGTTTAAGTAGTTTCGAATCTTTCTGGCCCATGTCAAATTCTTCCGCCAAAAACCACTTGTAGGACGACGCGCCCGACCCAACTGAAAACGCAGGCCGCGGGGGGCCCTTGGCAAGCATGGCGCTCCTCCCGGGCCGCCGCGAGAGCAGCGGCGGGGACCGCGCCCCCTCGTCGGCGGCGAGCGAAGGGGGGAGTGAGAAGGAGGGCCGTCTCAGAAGGCTCGAGGTCCCCCGCCCTGCTAAGAAGCCCCCCGCGCAAGCCCTCCCCGAAGGCAAAGAAAAACTGTTCAGAAGGCGCCTGGGCTTCCGAGAAGCCCCGCCACTTCCTGGGAAGGCCCATGTCGGGCACGCCCCCCCCCCACGGGCGGATTTTCTACGAAAAGTCCCAAATATCTCGGCGAAGGACCCAATCCTACGCAGTTGCGAATACCGCAATAATGAACATCACCCTCGCCCGCCTCCTGCAGGGGCGCGGGCCGCGCGAGGGGGCGCCGAAATGCGCGGCGGAGCACGCAACGCGAAAGAAGACGATAAGTCTGCGCGCGAGAGACTGAAGGCAGGCGAGCGCGAGAGCGAACGAATCTGAGTGTGAATAATCTGCGCGCGCGAGCCCACGCGCATAAATGTCGACGCCCATGTCGGCGCGCCCCTCGCGAGGATCGCGCCCGCTCCCCCCTGTTATTCGTCCCCCTCTTCGCCCGCGCGCGCCCATGTCCGAGGCGGCGGGCGCGGCGCCGCGCGGAGCCCCCGCGACGCGCGCCCGTCGCCCCGGAAGCGCCCCGGCGACGCGCGCGCGTCGTCCGCCGCGCGGAGCAGAGAGAACTACAGGCCCGCCGATGGCGGGCAAGTCCCTGGCCGCCCGGCAGAGCGACGACGGGGGCGAGCGAGGCGCCGGGCAGAGCGCGGGGCGGGGTCCCCGCGACGCGCGCCGGTCGCCCCGAGAGGGCCCCAGAGGCGCGCGCGGGTCGCCCGCGGCGCGGAGCCAAACAGTCAGACCGTCAAGAGACGGCGAGGCCCGGGCGGGTCGCTCCTCAGGCCAAGCCTCGCGGATAAACTCGGCGAAGCCCAGCTCCCCGGCGAGGGCCGCCGCCTCCCTTCCGCGACGCTTCGCGCGCGCAGGAAACTGCTCCAGCTGCTTCCGCAAGCCCTCCGGCGGCCCTGCCAGGAAGAACTCGATGCGCGGCGCCCGCATGAGCAGGAGGTCCTCGTGGCGCGTGGCGCGCGAGAGCAACGCGTAGAGAGCTCCAGCCACCAGTCGTCGCCCTCCTTCTTGCCGTTCCCGACCTCGTGGCGGCCGCAATCCAGGATCACGCCTGGGCGACGTCGGCCGAGGGAGCAGCGCGCCACACAGCCGACGGCCCGAGGCGACAGTCCAGGGGGCCGAGAGAAGGTCTGGCTGCGGACCGCTCGTGTCCAGAAGCTTTGGCCGTAGACTGCCAGGGGGCGCCGTTCCCTCGCCCCGTCGCGTTCGCGCATGGTGCGCCCCTGGCCCGCCACCGTGGTGATGACCCTGCCGCCCGAGAACGGCAAGCCCGTTCGGGTGACCTGGGACCTCAGTTGGAGCTCCCTATGGGGCCACGGAACGTGTGAGGGGTGTGCCACAGTGGAGCGGCGCCGCCATGCAAGCTGCGCCACTGAGACTTTAGTTGGAGCTCCCTAGGGGACCCCGAAACATGCGAAGGGTGTGCCAACATAGGGCGGCGCCGCCATGCGAGCTGCGCCACTGGGACCTTAGTTGGAGTTCCCGAGAAGCCCACGAAACGTGTGAGGGGTGTGCCAAAATGGGGCGGCGCCGCCATGCGAGCTGCGCCACTGGGACCTTGGGACGAGCACCCGATGGGGCCACGAAACGTGTGAGGGGTTGCCGAAATAGGGCGGCGCCGCCATGCGAGCTGCGCCACTGGGACCTTAGTTGGAGCTCCCGAGAAGGCCGCGAAACGTGTGAGGGGTGGGGTGTACCACTTGGGGCGGCGCCGCCATGCGAGCTGCGCCACTGAGACTTTAGTTGAAGCTCCTTGAAGCCACGAAACATGTGAGGGGTGTGCCAATATGGGGCGGCGCCGCCATGCGAGCTGCGCCACTGGGACCTTACGACGAGCACCCTATGGGGCCACGAAACGTGCGAGTGGTGTGCCGAAATGGGGCGGCGCCGCCATGCGAGCTGCGCCACTGGGGCCTTAGTTGGAGTTCCCGAGAAGGCCACGAAACGTGTGAGGGGTGTGCCAAAATTGGGCGGCGCCGCCATGCGAGCTGCGCAACTGGGACCTTAGCTGGAGTTCCCAAGGGGGTCACGAAACGTGTGACGGGTGCCGAAACAGAGACAGGCGGAGAGCAAAAGCAAAGAGGGGGAGGAGAGAGGAGGGGGGGAGGGGGAGGGAGGAGGAGGAGTAGGACGCGGGGCGCTGTCTCTTCAAAACGAGGACCCAAAACGGCAGGACGGTTGGGAACTATTCCAAAAATGCGCAAACGTAGTCGAAAATGATCATCAAAAATCGTCCCCTGACTATGTCCGTACTGCACCCCTCCTGTAGAGGGGTACGCCCGACTGGAGAGAAGGCCTTCTCCTTCTCGCTTCCCCCCCTGGCTGGCCGCCCTCGCCCTCGGCCGCCTCGGCCGCCCTCGTGCCTCCGTCGCCTCCGCGCCTCTCGCGCGCGCGCGCGCGCCTGCGCGCGCGGCCGCCCTCGCCCCGCGGCGGGGCCGCGCCCCCCTTGCGATCGGCGCCGCCCTCGGGGCGGCCCTCGCGCCGCGCCCCGCGCCGGCCCGCGGCCGAAGGGCCCCCAGGGCCGCCCAGGCGGCAGGGCTAGGTCGGGCATGGCTTCCTACAGGCGGATATGGGAAGAGAGTATTTGTTTTTTTTGTGGAAAAAAATCCCATAAACACCCAGAAGTCATCCAAAAAAAAGTCCCCTGACGATTGTTGTGCGCCCGACTTGACAGCAGGGCCAGGCTGCCCCGCGCCCGCGCCACCCCGCCTCTGCGGGAGCCACCTTGCGGCAGCCAGCTCCCGCAGAGGCCCCCATGGGAGGTGGGGCCGGACCAGCAGACACAAACGACGCCCGAGAGGGCGCCACGGGCCCAGGCACGGACCACGACTTCTGGTGCGGGCTTCGGCGTGGTATGCGCTGCGGCCCCCGAGGAGGGCCGCAGATGGCGTGGTGTCGTGTGCTCTCGGGTCGGGGAACGGCGGCGCCCGCTGGAGGGCCCCGAGGTGCCGCGAGGGCGCCCGACGGCCGCTCCCAGCGCGCGGCCCGTGGCCCGCCTCGTCGGCGTCTGGCCCTCCTCTTCACGCCTGCGCCCGGATCGCGCAGGCTGCGCCTGGACGGCGGTGGCGTCAAAGTCGAGCCACGTCGAGAGGTGGCGCAGGCGCTCCTGGGAGACTGCACGCGTCTCCAGGTCCTGCTTCGGGGCGACCTGAGCTCCAGGCCCTGGCGCAGAGACTAGCACGCCGCTGGCCTGGGAACCCTTCATGTGGTGCTCGGTGGTGGGGAGGCAAGTCGGGCCGAGCTGAGCTCTGGGCCCTGGCGCAGAGATTAGCACGCCGCTGGCCTGGGCATCCTTGGTGTGGTGCTCGATGGTGGTGAGGCAGCCTTGTGCCTCTACATCTGCTTGATATCCGGACTTGATGTGGTGCTCGATGGTTGTGAGGCATCCTTGTGTTCATGCATCTGCTCGATCTCCGAGTGGAACGCTATGCTGGGCGATTCGCAGCGCCTCTGAGACTCGGGAGAAAAGAAAATCGAGCCCTCGATCTGCAGCGTTGCATGACCTGGCCTGCCGTTGAACCACGCCGCGGACACCCCTCTCGTCGACGGACCAGCTGGCCTGGCATCGGTCGGGCTGGATCAGGCGGAAGAGCAGCGGCAAGAGCAGGGGGACGAGGAGGAAGAGAAGGCACAGACGAAGACGGGAGTGGACGTGGCGGACGATGCAGTGGCGATCACTGCAACTGACTCGGGGCCGCCTCGCAGAGCAGCGCACCGGACGCCCCCGGGCAAGCCCCCACGGCCGACGCAAGGGCACGGCTGCCCAGGCACCAAGGAGCCCGAGCTCAGCCCAGCGGCTCGGCCAAGGGCTCGAGAGCGAGCAGGGGAGGGAGGGAAGAGGGAGCGAGGGGAGGCGGGGCGGCGAGAGCGGGAGGGAGAGGCCAGGGATGGACTGCAGAGGCGGAGAGCGAAGGGAACGAGGACCTCGTGGAGGGGGAGGAGGGGGGAAGGGGAGGCGCGGGGAGAGGGGGGGGGGGACGAGGAGGATGGAGGGGAGGGTGGAGGCGGAGGTGGAGGGAGGAGGCACAGGCAGGATGCACGCGCGGGCACGGCCTCGGACCCGGCGGCCCTGCACCGCAGGAGGCCGCAGTGCACCACGAGCGCGAGGCACACTATCTGCAGCCACATCGCCCGTCGCAGCCGGCCCTCCCCCCCTGCGCTGTCGCTGTGCTGCGAGCGCCGCGCCCATGCACACCGCACAGTCGCCGTGCCACCAGGAGGAGCGCAGGGTACGGAGCGGAGGAGCTTTGCGGGCCACGGCGGCACGCTGCGCACAGGTCGTCCGCGGACCTCTCCCTCTCCCTCCGTCTTCGCCGGCGGAGGCTGAACAGAGGACGCCGAACGGCTGTTCCTGGGTCCCGCGCGAGAATTAACGGACGAAGAACGGTATACAATAAACTTGTTCGCCGTCGGGGACACCTGCCCCAGGGCGGCTGGAAAGTTTATACCCCTACGGTGGCACCGTAGGGGTATAAACTTTCCAGCCGCCCAAAGTCTGGTGTCCCCGACGGCGAAAAAGTTTATGTTATACCGTTCTTCGCCCGTTAAGAGAAGGAGCCAGGAAGGAGAGAGCGAGACGACTCTGCACGACGGGCGCTTGCCTCGCAGACCCGTCCGTGCGGGGCCCCGTGTGCCCTGCCTTCTCGGCGGCCCTGCCGGCCGCGGCGTCGAGGGCGTCCAGCTGCGAAAACATGACCGCTGACAACGGCGAGGCGTTCGCCAGGACCCCACCCTCATCCCCCGGCATCCTCCTCATCTTCTTGACCTCCGCATGCTCAGCATGTCTTATGAGTTTGCTTAGGATCATCAGTAGTATGCGTACTACCCGTGAGTATTAATAGTGTGATTAGTGTGTATGGCCTTAATTTGGTTAGGTATTATGTGTAAGCTTAGTATCACTCGTCGTCTTAGCCTTATTAGTAGGCATTACAATACTCCTGCGCAGTCTCCGTCTTATCATTATGACAAATAGTAATAATACTACGCTTCTCCTGAATCAGACTCGTTTAGCACGATTATTAATATGAGTATTAGTTTGCTTAGTGCTCGTAGTATTCCTCATCATCATCACCATCATCATCATCATCATCATCATCATCATCATCATCATCATCATCATCATCATCATCATCATCATCATCATCATCATCATCCTCTACCTGTATCTCCACAATCACATGTTATGAAAGCGACTCTCCGCGTACTGTTTCTACAAACAGAACTGGGCAACGGTGTCTTTCTCATGGTTTGGGCACAATCCGATTGTTCTCGGTGCTTCAAAGCGGTGCTCCCGCTGCAGCGTAGGCCTCATTTCCAGATCAGCGGTTCACTCCTGTTGTTCAGAATGGCGCTGTCGCCCCAGCGTGGGAAACTTTTCTGTGTCCGAGTCCTTGTTCATCGTTGTCGCCCCACGCATGTCCCCTCCTCTGTCTTCCCCTGGTCCTCCTGTTCCTCCCGCTCCTTTCACTCCAGTTCCACCTGCTGCCGCTGCTGCTGCTGCTGCTGCCGCTGCTGCTGTTCGTCCTCTGCTCATCCGCCTGTTCGCCCGCCACACCCTCTTCCTATGCACGCAGTTCCTCTCCTTCCAGCTCCGAGAAAAAACGAGGGGGGGTTCTGTTCTGCTGAAGCTCCAGGCCGGCTATGGCACGCCTCCGCGGATGGATGACAGATCTGCCCAGTGGAAAGGGAAAGGAGAAAAGGATCGGACGTCAGAGATGGCGCGAACGCGCTCAGCCTCCCCTCCCCCGTCTGCCTCCTCCCGTCTCCTTCCTCCCTCCTCCCTCCTCCCTCCTCCCTCCCTCCTCCCTCCTCCTCCCTCCCTCCTCCCTCCTCCCACCCCTCTCATTCGCCCGTCCCCCGAGCCCCCTGACACTCACCAGGCCCATCCAGGACCACCCAGAACCCCCCCTGGGACCTCCCCGGGAACCCTACGCCCCCCCCCCCCCAACTGGACCCCCAGCGCCCCAGGAGGGAAGAGGAGGGAGGGGGGAAGGCAGGGAGGTTGGAACGGAGGAGCAGAGTGGGGGAGGAAAGGGGGACAGGGAGGGAGGGGAAGAAATGACGACGACGCCGAGAGTGATGGAGGGAAGAGGAGTAAGGGGAAGGGAGGAGGCAAGGGAGGTTGCAAGGGAGGACGAGAATGGAGGAGGAAAGACGAGGAGGAGGGGGGGGAGGAGAGTGGAGGAGGGAGGGAGGGAGGAGGGAGCAGGAGGAGGAGGACGACGACGCCGAGAAAGGAGGAGGGAAGGGGGGGGAGGAGGAGGAAGGAACGGAGGTTGGAAGGGAGGAGGAGAGTGGAGGACGGATGGGGAAAGGAAGAGGGAGGAGCAGGAGGATGGGGGAGGAGGAGGACGACGACGATGCCGAAAGAGGAGGGAAAGGGAGGGAGGAGGGGGGGGGAAGGGAGGCTGGGAGGGAGGAGGACCACGACGACGACGCCGAGTGAGGAGGAGGCAAGAGGAGGGTGGAGGAGGGTGGAAGGAATGAAGGTTGGAAAGGAGGAGGAGAGCGGAGGAAGGATGGTGGAAGGAGAAGGGAGGGGGGGGGGAAGACGACAAAGACGCCGAGAGAGGAGGCCAGAAGAGGAGCAAGGAGGAGAGGGAGAGGGAGCTTGGAAGGGATGAGGAGAGCGGAGGAGGGAGGGAGGGGGGGGGAGTGGAGGAGGGAGGGACGGAGGAGGAGGGGGGACGAGGAGGGGGAGGAGGAGGACGACGACGACGAGAGAGGATGGAAAAAGGAGGGAGGAGGAGGAGGAGGAAGGGAGGTTGGAAGGGAGGAGGAGTGGAGGGAGGAAGTAGGAGGGAGCAGAAGGAGGACGACGACAACACCGAGAGAGTAGGGGGGAAGAGGATGGAGGGGAAGGGAGGAAGGGAAGTGAGGAGGAGGAGAACGACGACGACGACGCCGAGAGAGAAGAAGGGAAGAGAAGTGAGGGGAAAGTAGGAGGGAAGAAAGGTTGCAAAGGAGAGGGAGAGTGGAGAAAGGAAGAAGAGGAGGGAGGAGAAGGAGGGAGGAGGAGAAGGACGACTAGGGTAGAGGAGGGAGGAGGAAGGAGGAAGGAAGGAAGGTTAGAGAAGGGAGGAGGAGAATGGAGAATGGAGGAGGGAGGGAGGGAGGAGGAAGCAGGATGAAGAGGAGGAGGAGGAGGACGACGACGGCGACGGCGACGGCGACGGCGACGACGACGACGGCGGGCGATCACGACGACGACGACGACGACGACGATGACGAGAGGAGGAGGGAAGAAGAGGGAGGAGGAGGAAGGGAGGTTGGAATGGAGGAGGACAGGAGGAGGGAGGGAAAAGAGAGGAGCGGGGGAGGAGGAAGAGGAAGAGGACCGCGACGACGGCAAAGACGGTGACGACCACGACCCCCCACGGCCCGCACCCGACCGCAGCTGGCGGGCGCGCGGGGGCGGGCCACTTCTCGAGCAGTGTGGTGGCGGCGGCGGCGGTCCAGTGCAGGGCGCTGGCCAGCAGAGAGGGAGGGAGGAGGATCGTACCCCCCCCGATGGAGAGAGAGAGAGAGAGAGAGAGAGCGAGGAGGATCGTCCCCCCACCGATGGAGCGAGAGAGAGAGAGAGATGGAGAAGGAGGATCGTAACCCCCCCCCGATGGAGAGAGAGAGAGAGAGAGAGAGAGCGAGGCAGAGCTCGTCCAAAAAAACACCCAGGGAGGGCCACCGGGGGGGACCTCTCAGTCGCCGCGGGGCGGCGTCGGACGGGCCGCCCGCGGGCCTGCGACGGGGACCGCCCCAGGAGAAAAAGATCGCCGTCCTCCCTTGAAGGAGGGGGAGGGCTTCTGCAGAGCTTCATGGGATTGGTCTGATCATGGTGGCCCAGCGCTGCCTGCTCCGGGATTGAGAAAGAAGGCAAGAGCAGGAGGAGGAGGAGGAGGAGGAGGAGGAGGAGGCAGGAGGAGGAGGAGGAGGAGGCAGGAGGCAGGAGGCAGGAGGCAGGAGGAGGAGGAGGAGGAGGCCGGGGGCGTCGCTTCTCAACCAGCGCTGGCGGTGCATCGCCCTGGGCGGCCACGCCCGGACGAGGAGGGGGAGGAGTGTGCACACCTCTCCTACGGTAGGAGCTCGATCACAGGAGACCTTCCACGAGAAGCCCAACCCTGTGAACCCAGGACGTGCCTGGATGTTTGGTGTGAGAAGGTCACGCTTCCCACAGCAGAACCATCGAATTCCAAGAAACCCAGGGCACCATGGAGGCAAGCAGGCTGTTTCTAGCCACGGGTCTCCACGGCATTTTTGAACTGCGGGGTGCTGTACCATACGTTGCGAATCTACCTCCTGAGCGGTGAGCGCAGAGGAGCCACGCCGCAGGGGTCGCGTTCACAGGGTCATCTCCTTCTGTCCCCGGATGCAGAACAGCTCGCGCCCTGCTGGGAGAATCACATCGGATCGTGGTAAGAAGAACCCGCGCAAGATCACGCTGCGTGGGTGACAGCCCCCGAGGGAGCCGCGAGGTCTGCTGGAGGCCTGGAAATGGGCACCAACACCAGCACAGGGGGTTGCCTTCACAGGGGGAAGATGATCCCCGATTTCGGTGCTGGCGGTAATATTTCGGCCACCTCGGAAGCCAAACTATTACCACCATCACCGAGATCGGGATCTTCTTCCCTCGGTGGAGGCACACCGCCGAAATTGGTGTTGGTGTCAACCTCTGGGCCTGCGAGGTCTGGTCTGGATATGCGCAAGGCACACCTCCACCTCCCAGGAGGCAACATGAGTGATGACAACTGCACAGGTGGCAGCCGCCCAGGGGGACGCGAGGTCGAAGCTGGAAACACGCAAGACACCCCTCCGCGGGACCTCGCGGGAGCCCACGAAAAAGTGGCGACAGTTGCTCGAGGGCCCCCTTCCACGGAGAGTGCAAGGTCTGGTCTGGGTGTTCGCCAGACACATCTCAACTGAACCTCCCAAGAGCCCACGACAGGGGCGACACTGGCGCAGGTGGCGGCCCCCCCCCCCACCTGGACACGAGGTCTGGTCTGCATGCGCGTACGAAGCCACTCTGCTGGACCTCCCAGGAGCCCACCAAAACGGCGAGCATTGTGCAGGTGGCAGCCCCCCGGAGAGCCGGAAGGTCTAGTTGACAGAAACCCCTCCGCGGGACCGCAGAGGCGCCGCGAGGTCCGCGAGCGGCGTGCCGGCAAGGAACTCTAGCCCCAGGTCCCGCATCATCAGCAGAGCTGGGTGATTGTCATTAGGACGGCAGACCGATGGACCCCTGCCGCCAGCAGCCCTCGAAACTGGCGACAGCATCGCAATTCCCAGCCCCCCACGGATGGCGATGCCTGACCTGGATCTGCGTAAGACGTCACTCCGCTGGACCGCTCAGCAGCCCTCGAAAGTCTTCGCAGTTCACGGCCCCCCACGGATGGCGAGGTGTCCTGAATCTCCGTGCGCGTCAGACGTCACCGCACTCGGCCCGCAAGCAGCCCTCGGAAATGGCGTCAGTTTCGCAGTTTGCACCGTCGCAGGGATGGCAATGCTTAATCTGCTTGACCTCCAGCAGCATTCGAAAGTGGCCACAGCTTGGCAAGGTCTAGTCTGAACCTGCGTAAGACGTCACTCCGCTGGACCACCCAGCATCCCTCGAAAATTGCGGCAACTTCGCAGTTCGTACCGCCCTGGAGACTGCGAGGTGAAATCTGCATCTGCGTAAGGTGTCACTCC